AAGAAGAAATGTTCTTCAATGACGGAATAGTGAGGAACTAACTGAAAGAAGAAATGATCTTCAATGACGGAATATTGAGGAACTAACTGAAAGAAGAAATCTTCAATTTCAGATTAAAATAATTCAAGAAATAATAACAACATCAATAACATTTAATATCTGAATGTTCTTTGATCATTTCTCTAGATATCATATATATATCATCTCTAGATATCATATCATCTCTAGATATCATTCTCTAGATATCATATGTCTAGAGATATCATATAGATATCTCTAGACAGCTGCCAATTCTACTGGAAGCCAGTTTCTCCTGGTCTATTAAAATTCTCCTGATTTCCAAAAATTGACTGAATAAGTATTACTAATTTAAATTATATAAGTATCGTCTATAGAAATCAGTGCATAACTTTTTGGTTTTAAAATGCTTAGCTTGTTTTTATTCAGAACTCTCTTTTTAAATTAGTTATAAAAATCTTTCAACTATCTTTGATGAATTGAATGCCTATTAATATTTGAAATTATGAGCAAACATAATACATAACATTTGAGGTATGTCTAATGTCAATCATAACTGGAAAATATTGCAGTTTTTCCATTTTGATGTCTATAAAAATTTCTAAACTTCCGTGTGCGTAAAATATTTGGTACATTATGCAGCAATTATAATGAAATTTATATTATTTCGTAAAATCTTCTGGATTTTTTTCCTATCCACGTTGGCAGCTACGCATAATGTTTTATCTTATAATTTTTGAGTTACTGGGAGATCCCCATAACCTTACGGTAATCCAAATATCAAAAGTATTCGCTAATATTCGAAAAATGCAAATCTTAACAAGTTTTTATGATTAATTTTTTCCTCCTATAGAAAACTAGTTTAAGGTAGTTTGTTTCAGGCTTATATTACTTGGACTCAATTCTAATTGGTTATGCGACGCAACTAACGAAAATCACTGTAATTGAATGGAAATACTTTTTTTTTCTCCTAGCGTTGGACATGTACCTGCGTCGTTATGGACCCTTTACCATATAGCGCAAAGCTTGGCTACTGGTCCGGCTCCACCCCAGCCTAGGAAAGAAACCAGTCAGCAGGTATTTATTGAAAATTTTGATATATACATAGAAATTTGATTCTCATTGACCATCAATCAGTGATGGTTAGAACAATACATTTCCATGATAATTTAATGGAAATTCTTGATGGTTTTGGGGAATCCATCTAAGCAATTTGATTTTATGTTGGACCATCATAAATCAGTCCGAATTCATACGTTAGGATGACGGTGGTTCAAGATCGTTCCAACGTTTGATTTCCAAGAAACTATGATGGAAATTTCTGATGGTTCAACACGAACAAACCATCAAAACAAGTTTCTAATCTTATGTTGAACCATTATAAATCCGTCCAAACTCCTACATTGGGGTAATGGTTACTTATGTTCGTTACCATCAAAAATGTAATGGTTCAAGATGGAATTATTGATTTTTACTTTCAAAGTTTTTGTCTTGGGGTGGTGCGGGGGCTGCATCTTTAACAATCGCACAGAAAAGTTGAACAATGAACAGAATTCTAGGATAAGATAAAAAATCGGAATTATTCACTTTCAACTGTACTTCAAACGAAATTTACAAACGGTAATCTTTAAATTTTTTTTCCAATGCGCACCTGGAGAATGACCTAGGTCATACAGGCATGTGAAGGGCAGATTTGTTTAAGCAGGGGCAGTATATTAGGTGGGCCAACGTTGCTCCCACAGTAAGGACAGATTGTACAGAGAAGGAAAGAACATCCATGCCTTGCCCGGGATTCGAACCCAGAACCTTTCTGGTGCAAGGGCAGTTCCCTAACCCCTACACAGCTCGATCGGTGTAATCTTTAAAATGTCATATTAAAAAAATCATTTATTTTGCAATTCAAAAGAATACTCAGTAATGAAAACACTTTTACTGTTTTGAAACGTTCCAATTTTACAAAGATTAGTTTTTAAACCATCAAGGCAAAATGACCTATAAAAGAAAGGTACAGTGTGCAAAATAAAAAGTAAACACTCTGAATAACTTTTGATCTACTGATCGGATTTACACGTACTATGACTCAATGTTAATGGTCCGAATGTTTAATCTTAAATATTCTAATGAATTAAAGCAAGCGATTCATTAAGTTATGTAATCTGGCATGAAAACGTGCTTTCTCTGAATAAACATGCTTTTTTATGACAGATTCCAGCTCTTAACCCCCAAAATATGGAGGCCGGGATAGCCTGGTTGGTAGGATACTGGGCCCATGTCCAACAGGTCGTGGGTTCGATCCCCGCATGCCGAAGACTCTCTGTGTAGTAAATGGTGACTGATGCATGTTAAATCTGTTCGGTCACAAAGTCCTCCATGTCCCCATTACAAATCATACCTCTGGGGGCACTGATCCACAGGAGTTTACTTGTCTTCTGGATTGGTTCAAAATTACAAGGCTATAGAGTTGAACGTTAGTAGTCGTAAACCCTAAATTGGTGTCAGCTGTTCAACGACGGTTATAAAATATGATATGGAGTGAAACCACAATTTGGAAAATAAGGTCCTAATCGAAATTTTTCCTATTTTGGAAGGTGGGAGGTCGAATGTTTGGACCATTTATATTAAAATCAGTTTTTTGCTCATTTTCCTAATATTTCCAGAACTTTTGAAATGGATCGAAAAAGTTTTGCAAACAATTACAAAATTTTATTATCCAAAGACGATTCCATATAAAATTTACTTTTTAAAAATTAATTATTATACATATACATTATTATACATATACATTAACTTTAGTCGAAAAAAAGGTAAACAATTTTTTACAACATTTTATAAAATTTAATTTTAAATAAGAAAATACAAAATTTGAAGGAAATTGTTGAGATCAGAGTACTTTTAAGTTTTTCAATGTTCAAACGTTAAATATACAGATTCTCAAGAACTATTCGACAGATTTCGTTCAAAATTTGTAATCTGTCATATAAAAAATTTGCATATTTTGAACTAAATTAAAAAATATGCATACCTTACCATTCAAATTTTTTCGACTGATATTAAATAATTGAATACAAATTAAACTCTTAATTGAAAATTAAACTTTTAATTAAAATTAAATTTTACAAATTCGTACTATTCCTATTGGGCGTTTCGTATTCCCTTCCCAATAGAAAAGCGTGGAAGATCCTTGGATCTGGTGGATCATTGATGAATTTCCAGTTGAGAAGTTAGTGCAGTAACGTCAGCTTATACATCGCTATAAAATAGTGCATTTGATAGGTAGGTCTGGACTTCAAAGCTTAAAAGACGCAGAAATTTACATCAAAATGCGCGTAAACTTTATGTGTATCAACTTCAAGTATTCTTTCAGAAAAAACTTGAACCAATTCTTGGGTTGTAGGTACAGATAACTTAGTCATAAGATTATTCGCCTTAGAATTATTACTCAGTGTCACCATCATAATCCCTCTCCCTCGAGGAAATGATTTTAAAAGATTTTTCAACAATGCTTCCGCAATTGTTGCATCATCTGCGTAGAGAGGTCCTATTCGAGCAGCACCCATGCAACTCAACTTAACAGAACCGAAACCCACACACTCCCTACCATTCAGAGCTACAAATGTCTGACTGTTTTCTTCCCTAGAACTCAATTCCAGCAGGTGTCTGCGATCATAGCCCATTAGGTTGTAGTCGTATGCGCTCACCAAGTCCAAGTGATCGTCTTGATAGGGTCTTAGGGCGACACCTGGTGGGAGATCTTCTGAGAGCGAATTGTAATTGACGTAACATGATGTTTCATTCTTGAATAGGGTGTAGTCGGTTCTAGGGGCTCCCATCACGATGTCACAATAGACTTGTGTCATATTCTTGACTGCATTTCCGCAAAGGAAATTCTACCCTGGCTGACTTCTCCTACACCTAGTTCAAGAACCTGAAATCAAAGTTATATAATCTATATTACATTACAACACTGCACTCTTTGAGTATGCGTCCCAAACTAGCGCGATTTCTTCATTCTCCACACTTTTCCACTCTCTTCGCTTATTATGTTTTCGGCAAATCTTATTTTTTCTAAACGACAGCACATAAAAAATTTTTATTTTTCAACCGTCATTAAATATAATACCTAGTAATATAGGGTTAATAATACTATATAATATAGGGTTTATGTCTACCAATGTTCCACTCCGTAGCCTTGTCATTTTGAACTCAATCTAGAAGACAAGAGAACTCCTGGATCAGATCAAGTATTGGGAGAAATTTTGCCTCCGTGGAGGACAATTTTTTGATGGAACTAACCCGCATGTGCGCTACTTGGAAGGGGACTCTAACCATGAAACGTCTACCACTGATAATATTTGAAGTCAGCTCTGTGGTCGGTGCCAGCTGGATGCGGATTTCGTATCGACCCGTCATTGCTGGGATTCGAACCCGATCACCTTATTGGAAGGCGAGTGCTCTATCCCCTGAGCCATCACGGCTTTACGGAAAAAAAGCGGAATATACTTGCGTCAGTGGAAAAAAGATTTACCAAAAATGTGTAACGAAGAATGGAAAAGTGTCAAGAATAGGAAATGCGTCCAACCGGGAGACGCTCAGACGCATATTTTATTTACAAATATTGCCCCAAAACTGATGGCATTTCTTTGTACTCTATACCTCGTTACCATAGTCACCGCCATGGTTCTAGACGAATGGCTAGGGGAGTTCTTACTTCAGACGAACTATAGATACTCCTATTCAGTGACTATCCATAACTAAAGAACAGGCACAAAATTTGCTTCGATTAACCAATTAAGTCCGGGATGAGAAACAGAATACAGAATATATATTTATATATATATAGAAGAGAATATATATTTGACAGAATATATATGCTACCTCCGTTCATATATACAATATAAAAGGGTTTCCATTTAAGATTGTTAGGGGATCCCTGTTCCAACACTAGGGAATTCAATGAGGATCAATTTTGAACTGCGTGAATGCATCGATTAAAGTTAATTTATACGTTTGTTCAACGATTATTGCTGCGATATGTATATAAATCTTTTAACACTGTGTAAACACGGTTTGCCGTAATCTAGCCATTGAAAAATATTCTCAGATTCCTAGTAAAAAAGTGAAGGGAAATAAATATGACGATTTATTATAGAAGAAAACTGAATTAAAGACATCACAACTAGCTTAATTGCTAGATCGTATTTCACCTTTCAATACCGGGTATTCCCAAAATTAACCGACGATTTAAAATAAATTAACGAAAAAACAACGAACGGTTTGTTAGAAAGAGCAGAAATGGGTGCTCCTGAAGTTGTGTTATTTGTTAATTTAGCTTCTCAACAGATGGCGCTTCGCAAACCAAAGAACAATGTTTTTACAACATATAAGACTGTTGAAACTGAAATATTTCCAAGTATATCGAATTTATTTCGTTTTCAGACAGCTTCACGTTGTTGCAGCAATTGATAGCTATTTCGAAAACAGTGTTTTATATTTTTGTCTCAATCACCAGCGCCCTCTATTAATGAATTTCGTAATTAATTTCACAACGTAGACAAAAAAAATTCAAAACATGTTACAATAACACCGTTTCGTTTTTCGGGACACGCTTTTAAATGCTTTGATCATTACCTTTCTCCCTAGGCCGATATTTCTATATTCTGGATCAACGTAAACAAGGCCGCCAATGCATACTTCATCTGAATTGTGAACAAATGCAGCCGTTGCAACAATCTGTCCTAAAAATATCAGTAACATGTTAAAAAAATTGATATACATATGAAATATTTATCAGCTTTATGTTTAAAAAAAATTTAAATAAATAATTTTAATAGTATAACTTCGTTAACATCATACTTTGAGTCAGCAATATAAGTAATTCTTCGATACCAGAATTCATGAATTTAACCCTCCTCTAGAAAACAACCTTAAAATACTTTTCTAGAGTCCCCTTAAAGTCTTAACTACTCTTTTGAACCCACGCTATAAGGCATCGAATAAAATCGATGCTCGTTTCGGAAATATTAGTGATACGTTTTTGATGCAAACAATCAACATTTTTGTAGCTTTATTGAGAAAAACGCGTAAAACGTTAAGGTATGTACGTAGATACTTTATTTACGTCGCACTAGAGCTGCACAATGGGCTATTGGCGAAGGTCTGGGAAACATCCCTGAGGTAGATTCGAAGACATGCCATCGCAATTCTGATCCTCTGTAGAGGGGATTGCTCCCCTTCTTTGGTAGCCCGACGACCTACATGCCAAGTCAAGCACTTTATGGTAGAACAGTTTAATGAGGACCGATACCGCTCCCCCTCGATCCTTGAGCAGGCTGAACAAAGTTATCACCCGTCCGCTTACTGACAGCAGCCAGTGATGCTTGACTTCGGTGTTCCACTGGGAACAGTGTCTTTACGATCAATCCACTGCGGGATTATAACGTTAAGCAACTCCATTCAATGGACAACTTGTCAAATTTTCATTTTGTGAGGAAACTAAACTAACTGTTAAGCTGGCAAAAACGTAAGCGAGCTAAACTAAGATAGCCTAACCTACGATAGCAAAACCTAACCTATCAAAAACGTAAACATTTGCCTCATAAAAAGCCAAAACTTTGCTCTGCATAAAAACATTAACTGGTTCTGAAGATTTTACCTTCTTTGTAAAAACAAGAAGCGAAGCTCGTCATGTAATAAAACCGGTTGATCCTCTTTCTTTGTTTCAGAGATCACTTTTCTTATCTAGCAAACAAGCATTTAAAGCGAAACAGTTAGAGTCTTTGACCCATTCGCGCAAAGTATCATACAGGATGGTTAAAATTAAGCAGACGATAATCAGCGCCTCGTAATTCGTGATATTTTTTATATCTTCCAAACGAAACTTCAATTAAATTTAATAACGATCGTATATGGCTGGGAGTTTTTTCTCTAAAGAATCGTTTGAATTTATGCCAATAGAATGTGCTGTACTGCTAAACCACGTGTAACCGAGCGCATATTTTTGACCGACAGGGTAAGTTTATGAAGTACACTAGTGTAAAAGAAAATAAAATTTAATGTTATCCTTTGAATTTTTTTTTTTTTTTTTTTTTTTTTTTTTTTTTTTTTTTTGGAACTATCGTTTTTATTTATTACTGCGCCACTGGACGCGAAAATTTAAAGCTATTTTTTCCGTCGGAAATAATATATACTGTATGTTACCGTGAAGTACAGAGATCAAGAGAATGTCGACTTTCACCGGTGAATGTCAACAATCGCTGTGGTAAATGTCCGAAATATTTATTATAACCGATTTGATTTTAATTTAATCGTTGATATTATTATATTTATTCGATATTTTAATATCTGCTGAGGATAGATTGGGAGAAAGATCAGTGTTCAGAGAAAATGCATACTGGGTAGTGGTTTTTGACCTTAAAAAACATCAGCGTAGTCTATACCGGGCAAATGCAGGTCAGGCAGTGCCACTGAACCTTAAAAAAACATTGGTGTAGGTCATAAAAAGCAAATGTATACCGGGCAGTGACACTTAACTAGACCCATTATATATTACATTCACGAAAGCAACTATGTGATTGTCAACATTCACCGGTAGAAGTCAACCACCACCAATTACGAACCGTGGTGGCTCATGGGAATAGAGCCCTTGCCTTCCAATGAGGTGAACCAGGTTCGAATCCCAGCGATGGTGGGTCGATACGAATCCGCATCCGCGTTGCACCAAACACAGTGCTGACGTGAAATATCCTCAATGGTAGACGTGGTTAAGAGTCCCTTTGCCATCAGGCTAACCGTTGGAGGTTCTCGTGATCTTCCTCTCCATGCAACGCAAATGCGGGTTAGTTCTATCAAAAAGTCCTCTACGAAGGCAAATGTTTCCCAACACTTGATTCGGGAGTTCCCTTGTCTTCCGGATTGAGTTCAAAGTTACGAGGCTACGGAATTGAACATTAGTAGTTGTAAACCCAAACATTGGGTCCGATGTTCAACGACGGTTATAAAATAAAAACACCTGTTTCGGTCATTCACAGTAACATATACAATCAAAATATCAATCAACATATCAATCAACATATACAATCAAAATATATTCGTTTCAAATTTTACTCAAATCTTACCAAAAAACTCCTCGGGTTAAATTTTAACCACCCTTTGCAGGATGCAGTTTATGCAAAAAAGAAAGTTATTACCTCTTTTGTTTTCAGCTAAAAATATACCCTGCGGATGGATTTTGTTCCACGTCTGCAAGCAAGAGTAGCAATCATGAATCTTCAATTTTTTTCTAATTTCCATAATTTTAGGAATGTCTTCTTGTGTCATATCTCTGATGTAATAATCCGATGTGGGCTTTGGCATATCTTGCTCTGTTGATGGTCTTCTTTTTTCTGAAATGTTTCTTTATCTTTATTACATTACATAATTAGAGAACGTTTGATGCTTTCATTTTATGACGTTAACTGTTAACCCTTGTTCTACACTGGTGTCAGAAATTAAGAGAATTTGCAGACTGGGTCGATTATCTCTAGAACTACTAGGGCCCTATTACCAACTCATCGAAATTTATTCCGCTCGGAAACGATTCCGATCAGAAACTAGCTTTCATCAGATTGTCAATTTCGAAAAACCATCTTTGCCGTAACATGAGCATATCGGAATCCGGAATCGAAATCTCCATTCCACACGATTCCGGTGAATTTGAAGTTTGTAGGCGGGGACCAATTAGAAAATTACTATAATTCTAATTTATTAATCTGGCAACGATATGTTTGTCTTCTCTACTTCTATGCGAGTTAAAATCGCATTAACTTAGAACTGAAAGCTTAAAAATTCATACGATTTACTTTAAAAAATGGCTTCCCGTACAAAAATCAATACTCGCCAGCGATATCCACCACTGAATGCATATTAGAATAAATATCCAGAAGGAAAATCAAGATTGTCTATAATTATTTTCATTCCAAGCAATTTTGGGACCGAAGGAAGGATATTTGCTTATTCAACCATAGTTACTAGTTTGAAGCGTCTAGTTTTATTATAATGCAACTGTAAATTTGTTAAATTTTCCTATGAGAATTAAAAATAAAAATCTTTTTCATCAAAATAATTATTTGTAGCATTTATTATGAAGAAATCTGCCAAATCAGTTCTTAACGTCTGCAAAAGACTATCTACCCTGCTAATGAATTGCCCTCAATCAAATGCTCTTCATTTTGTTTTGTTTTAACAAGGAAGAAAGATAAAATAACTCATAATTTATGTAAATATTTAATCATTTATGCCTTTATGTTTGCTTTTTTAATTTTTATTGAATTATTTTTCCTTTAATGAAAACAATCATATTTTGCGTTACGCGTAAAGGGAAACCACGAAAATATCTTTCAGATTGCTTGACGCTTAAACAGTTCCAGCTTAATGTTCAGGAATCGTAATGAATTTTTTTTATATAATGGATCATTTTTTTGCATCTTTGACAGACAGCCAATTATATTTGTGAATATAATGAGATGCTCTTTATATTTTTCGTATTTATATTTTTAACTCATCCCAAAAATCAGAGTAACTCGCAATTTAAGTATCGGCGAAAAACAATGTTTATAAAAGTTGTAAAAATAATTTATTTTAACCATGATTAAGTTGAAATTAAAATTATCAAATTTTGCGTTAAGAGCAAAGAAAAACCACGAAAATGTTTTTCAGATTGCTTGGCGGTAGTAGAATTTCGACTAAATGTTCAACATTATCTCAATGAAATTATTTTTTATAAGCAATCATTTTTTATTATTAATCAGGCCCAGCCGTTGTGACTCAGAAGATCTGGAGTCTCCTTGAGGTCAGGCTAACCGTAGGAGGTTTTCGTGGTTTTCCGCTCCATGTAACATAAATGAGGGTTAGTTCCAACAAAAGGCCTCCATGGAGGCAAATTTCACTCAATACTTGATACAAGACTCTCCTTGCCTTCTGGATTAGATTTAAAATTACAAGACAATGGAGTTGAACATCAGTAGTCGTAAACATAAAATTAAGTCGGCTGTTCGACGACTGATAAAAATTATGAAATACATAATGTGAATATAACGAACTTCTTTCTGAATATAACGAAAAGCTCTTCTTTTTAACTCTACCCGTAAAGCAAAATAAGCCGCATTTAAAGTATCAAAATGCAATTATATTTATAAAAGCTATAAAAATACCCGATTTTAAATAAAATTAAATTAAAATTGTCAAATTTTGCGTTACACGCTAAGAAAATCTACAAAAATGTTTTTCAGATTGGCTTTAATCGGTAGCAATGACAGAAATCAGTGCCATTTTGATCACTAAAATAAACAAACGCTTGTCGGAATCTAGATTTCGCTTACTCTTAAACCTGCCGAAATGGGATTCGAAATAATTACGACTTATTACTACTAATTACCCTATTACCAACTTATCGAAATTTATTCCACTCGGAAGCGATTCCGATCGGAAACTAGCTTTCATCGGATTGCCAATTTCGTAAAACCCACTTTGCCGCAACATGAGCATATCGGAATCCGGAATCGAAATCGCCATTCCGCACGATTCCGGTGAAATTGGAGTTTGTAGGCGGGACTAATTTTGACCAATAAGAAAATTACTATAATTCTAATTTATTAATCTGGCAACGATATGTTTGCTTTCTCTTCTTCTATGCGAGCTAAAATCGCATTAACTTAGAACTGAAAGCTTAAAAATTCATATGTTTTACTTTAAAAAATGGCTTCCCATACAAAAATCAATATTCGCCAATAATATCCACCACTGAATGCAATTACAATAAAATTCCAGAAGGAAAATCAAGGTTGTCTATAATTATTTTCATTGCAAGCAATTTTGGGACTAATTAAAACCTTGGGTTAATTACAACCAAAGGAAGGATATTTGCTTATTCAACCATAATTACTAGTTTGAAGCGTCTAGTTCTATTATAATGCTACTGTAAATTTGTTTGATTTTTCTATGAGAATTAAAAATAAAAATCTTTTTCATCAAAATAAATATTCGTAGCATTTATTAGAAATCTGCCAAATCATTTCTCAACGTCCGCAAAAGACTATCTACCCTGCTAATGAATTGCCCTCGATCAAATGCTCTTCATTTTGTTTTAACAAGGAAGAAAGATAAAATAACTCACAATTAATGTAAATCTTTAAACATTGCTGCCCTTATGTTTCTTTTAAATTTTTATTTTATTATATTTTTTAAAAGAAAACAATCATATTTTGCGCTACACGTGAAGGGAAACCACGAAAATATCTCAGATTGCTTGACGCTTAAAGAATTCCAGCTTAATGTTCAGGAATCGTAATGCATTTTTTTTTATAAAATGAATCCTTTTTTAGCATCTTTGACAGACAGCCAATTATATTTGTGAATATAACGAGATGCTCTTTATATCTTTTTTGTTTATATTTATAACTCATCCCAAAAATTCAAGTAACTCGCAATTTAAGTATCGGCGAAAAACAATGTTTATAAAAGTTACAAAAATAAATTATTTTAGCCATGATTAAGTTGAAATTAAAATTATCAAATTTTGCATTTCACGCAAAGAAAACTACGAAAATGCTTTTCAGATTGCTTGGCGGTAATTGGATTCTAATGTTCATCATAATGTTCATAACTAAATGTTCATTATTATCTCAATGAAATTATTTTTTCATAATCAATAATTTTTTATTATTAATCAGGCCTAGCCGTTGTGGCTCAGAAGATCTGGAGTCTACTTGAGGTCAGGCTAACCGTGGGAGGTTTTCGTGGTTTTCCGCTCCGTGTTACGGAAATGAGGGTAAGTTCCATCAAAAAATCCTCCACGGAGGCAAATTTTACTCAATACTTGATACAGGACTCTCCTTGTCTTCTGGGTTGAATTTAAAATCACAAGACTACGGAGTTGAACATCAGTAGTCGTAAACACAAAATTAGGTCAGCTGTTCGACGACGGTTATAAAATTATGAATTAGATAAATTATCATCCTTCTGAACATAACGAAAAGCTCTTCTTTTTAACTCAATCCGTAAAACAAAATAAGCCGCAATTTAAGTATCGAAATACAATTATATTTATGAAAGGTATAAAAATATTCTATTTTAAATAAAAATTAAATTAAAATTATCAAACTTTATGTTACACGCTAAGAAAAACTACAAAAATGTTTTTCGAATTGGTTAAAAGATAAAGTTTGATAATTTTAATTTAATTTTTATTTAAAATAGGATATTTTTATAGCTTTCAGAAATATAATTGTATTTCGATACTTAAATTGCGGCTTATTTTGTTTTACGGATTGAGTTAAAAAGAAGAGCTTTTCGTTATGTTCAGAAGGATGATAATTTATCTAATTCATAATTTTATAACCGTCGTCGAACAGCTGACCTAATTTTGTGTTTACGACTACTGATGTTCAACTCCGTAGTCTTGTGATTTTAAATCCAACCCAGACGACAAGGAGAGTCCTGTATCAAGTACTGAGTGAAATTTGCCTCCGTGGACTTTTTGATGGAACTAACCGTCATTTTCGTAACATGGAGCGAAAAACCACGAGAACCTCCCACGGTTAGCCTGACCTCAAGGAGACTCCAGATATTCTGAGCCACAACGGCTAGGCTTGATTAATAATAAAAATTATTGATTATGAAAAAATAATTTCATTGAGATAACAATGAACATTTAGCTGAAATACAACTACCACCAAGCAATCCGAAAAACATTTTCGTAGTTTTTCTTTGTGTGTAACGCAAAATTTGATCATTTTAATTTCAACTTAATCGTTATAATAGAACTACAGTAGCATTAGAATCAACAGTAGCATTATAATAGAACTAGACGCTTCTAACTAGTAATTATGGTTGAATAAGCAAATATCCTTTTTTTGGTTGTAATTAACCCAAGGTTTTAATTAGTCCCAAAAATGCTTGCAATGAAAATAATTATAGACAACCTTGATTTTCCTTCCTGAATTTTATTGTAATTGCATTCAGGGGTGGATATTGCTGGCGAATATTGATTTTTGTATGGGAAGCCATTTTTTAAAGTAAAACATATGAATTTTTAAGCTTTCAGTTCTAAGTTAATGCGATTTTAGCTCGCATAGAAGAAGAGAAAGCAAACATATCGTTGCCAGATTAATAAATTAGAATTATAGTAATTTTCTTATTGGTCAAAATTAGTCACATGCCAAATCTAGTTGAGGTTGCTCAACATATAGCGCTTTTAAAAACGGAAACGGAAATAACCAGAGAGAGCATTCTCGCCAAATGTGATCTCTTCCGAAATTCACCCTATCAGCTGCGGCAATCACATACTAATAAGCTAGGCAGAAGTAAGTAGTCTTTGTCGATAGATCTCTATTTTAGTATTTTGTCGAAAGCGATTTTTTTCACGAATTTATATATTACGAATTTATTTGACGATTTTTGATTTATATCACGAATAAAGCACATTTCTAATATGCTTAACGAATTACATGTCATTTATTTTAATTCAAATTTATTTTAATGACTTAGCATTTTTTAAAAAGATGTAAATTTTTTTTTAAAGAAAGTTGTTATATGGATTTGAATGATTGTTTTGAATTCTTAGAATTTTGTGCATTTGCAACGCACCTAAGTTAGTAGCGAGTGAAGCGAGCCTGGTTTCCAAGGCAAACCATATAAGATTGCGTAGCAATTTTCGGGGGTTTGCGAGCGTTAGCGAGCAGGGGACGTAGCCCACTAGTTTTTAAAATTCTTTTTTTCACTTTTAATTTTGTTATGCATTAAGTTGGTGAGTTTATTTTTTAGGTATGGGACCAGTGAGATCCCATAAATACTTCTTGAGTTGTGAATAAAAGAGAATTTAATCATTTGAACTATACTTTTGTTTTTATTGCTTTAATTAAGAATCAGAAATTCTAACCTGCAGTTCAAACTGAAAAAAAATAGCCAACAACCATTTTTCCAATGGATAACCTGTGTTTTTTTTTACTTCTTTTTTATCTTTGTTTTTACACGATAAAAATAAAAGCATTTAAGAAATTAGTGCTTATATAATACAATGTTTATAACTTATTTACTAAATTATCTATAACTTAATGTACTAAATAGGAAAAAAATCATCGAAATTTCATTTTGATTTGGTTTCTTAATGTGTTTTTCTTTTTTTATTCTTTGTTTTCTTTTTTCTTTTCTTTTTTTGGTAACGTGTTTTTCTTTTTTTTAATTTTAGTTTGAATCCTTCATTTTTTTTTAAACTGAAAAATGTTTAGTTTTATATTTTGAATTCATAACTCTTAAAGAAACTTTGTTCATTAATTTTAAATTTTTTAGCTGGAAAAATGTTTTTTTTTCAATTTTATTTCAAAAAAATGATTTAATATTCTGATTTAAATATAATAAAGATATTTAAGTTAATAATTAAATGTTTCTCCTGAAAATGCTTATTTATTTCATGTAATTGAAATGTATAAGAAATAAAGAAAAGAAAATTTTATAAATTTCATGAATTACTTTGATTTAATTTAACGGAAAATTATTTTCATTTCAGCTTGAAAAAATTAAATAATATTGAAGTAATTTTATGAAAATGAGATACAAAAATTTTTCATAAAATTCCTTTAATTTTTGAAAGTATTTTATTATGTGCCAGAAAGAATTTAGCCCACTAAAGCAACCTGATAATTTAAAAATCATCACCTTTTATTTTTAAAAAAATCATATTTAGCGAAAAAATATATTTCAATATTTAATTAAAATGTATATTTTTATTTAAAAAAATTATATGCTGTTTTAATTTTCCTGTCAACAAATGAAAAACATTTATCATTGAAAGGAAATAAAATTAGAAATTTTAATATTTAATGAACTAATGTTTAAAGTATAAATAAATATTACACCAGATTTCAATATGGGAAGATGACCCCTTAACACTTTATATCACAACAAAATTGCTAATAAATTAGAATACATCATTTTAAGCACATTAAAAATAATAATAAATAATCAATTCTATCACGTTATGAAAATTACATATACATACATACATAACAATATGAAAGTGACATATATATTTAAAACAGTTCGATTAAATCAACTCAATTCAAATTTAAGTAATATTTCTGAAACAAACGTGAGCAATTTTGAAAGCAAGAAATGAACTTCAATTCTCGAAATCACCTTCATATTTTTTTCGATTTTCAATAAACTTACCTTTCACTAGTTGTTTCGTGGCTAAATTGAGAGGCTTTGAAATAGTTCTAACACATGATATCTGAAAGTTTAAATTAAAGTGTGAGTTAGCCAAGATTGGAATAAAAGCTTTAACCGCCATCATATTTGACAAAATTCAAGAGAAATAACTTTTAATAATTTGTAGTAACTACTTCACCTGGACCAGTTAATACGACTATGAGTGATAAAACGTAGAATGGATATTGGGTGATTGCATAACCTAATTAAAGAAATGTTTTTAGGTTTATATTCCCCAAACAAGTCAATGTCAACTGCTAATGATAAAAAGTCTTTCCTAGTTTCATCTTTTTAATTGGAACCACAATTACTCATTTACCCAATAATTTTCGTAGTAGAGGTAAAACCGTACATTTAACTAACGGTTATTTAATCGCTGTTGCTTATAAACAGCAAGTCATTTTTTATAGTTTTGCGATAGATTTTCGACTTGATTCTTTCTTAACTCAATGATTTCATATCGATACCTTAAATACAGTCTGATCTCTATTTAACGAAGTCGTTAAATGGCGATAAAAAGATCCTTATGCGGAAAATTCGTTAAGTAGAAAAATCACCATCCGAAATACTTAAACAATGCACAACAGGTTCTAAATTCACAAACACTAGACATAATTAAAATAGCAATTGATACACATTTCTCTTGTGCATTATCTACTATCGAATTGTTTCAAATGATTTCAACATTTCATCATATGAAGGCTTGGTGATTTCTTCATCACTTCCGTTTGGTGTCAATGTTTAACGAGTTTTGTGAAATCTTTCTTTGGTAGTCAGGTATCCATTGAAATAAAGGTATGTTTATTCAGAGAAAGAAATAACTCAAAGCATCAGTTAATTAACACTATTTAAATTCAGTTAGTTAATTTTCTTTATTTTGCCCCATGAACATATCAGGGTTAACTTTCGCTTTAAATTTCATATTAGTAAGGGTCACCATTTCTGATTTCTAATCTATAGAGAAACGGGTTTATTATTAATATTATTATCTTATGGGTCATGAATTTAATTAGGACTCGTTTGTGACGGTGAATTTATTAAGACTCCTATTTTATGGTGAAAAAAGTTGGGTTATGTAATAAGAGAAATTCTCTGTCTGGGCGATAAACGTTATCAGTTATAAGCAATTTCCAAACGGCGACACACTTAGAATTCTTAATACATTTTCTGTGTTATTTCTTTCGATCTACATTGGTCCACTTGGTTATCTCCCATTCATCAAACAATCTTTATGGCAGAACTTCGAAGAAAAAAGATTTCTATCGAGTTATTCAACAAATAGGAGCTTTAAACCCCTCCACCACGATAAGGTGGGACCTTTTGGAGGGGACCCCCACCCGTCCAGGTTGCTTCACTTTTGAACGACCCACCCCCTTTTTTTTAAGCTATTTATACTTTTTTCTTAAAATCATTTTTTTTTTTAACGAACATAAAGTGCTGCTCTTCTGATAAAAAGTTATATTTCTGAAATATTATTTAAAAATTAATATTATTACGTTAGTGACATAAAATAAGTATTTTTTTTTTATTTATGTTGTGCAAATTAAGGAATTAAAAGGTTTTCAAATAAAGGGTATTATTAGGATCCAATCTTCTATTCTCTAAACAAACCCCTAATCTGAATTTTTTTTTTTTTTAAAAAAACTAAACCCGTGCAACCTGGAAATCCGTTCTAACTTGTAAGATGTTTACTTAAGACAATAGGCGTTTCCTGCCAAATACTACAACTTCTTATATCTTAAATTTTCAACTGATAAAAGATTATAAGCATGGTCAAAGAAGAGCAGCCAGCAGAATTCATGGAAAATATGAGCACACATATTGCTAGAAAGCCCAAATTTAATTATTAAATTTCAATAAGAAATCCTGATAAGTAATTAATTAGGGACAACAAACACAGTCTAGAGCAGGGGTCTCTAAACTTTCCAGCCTTAGGGCCATACTGATTACTCCAGTAAGTTCCGAGGGCCAAAACCATATTATCATTGTTGCCGCTTCATCTTCAACTTGTTGGTCTTTAGATGTTTCTGTCTTGATGTGGAATCTAGAAGGGAAAAGATTAAGCAAAAGAACTATTAAGATCATATTGGGGTGGTGCTAAGATCTGATTGGTCCAGTAGTTGGGATCTGGGCGGGGCTAGAATTTCCTGGGTACAAGTAATTTTGTAGCGCCAGTTTTGATAGTTGTGTATTAGTGAACTAGGAAAATTTGAAGATAAATTTAGGCCCTAAAAAAAGGCCTTTTTTAATTCAATTAAGGAGAAAATTAGATTTCAGGGTTTAAATTGTGCAATTTTAAAATTATTCGAAAGAATTGCGTCACTCGTGAGGAAGTGCGCTATCGGTCTAATTTTACTATCCTCAATATACATTTCAGTTTGAAAAATTTTTATTGTAGTTCGCAACATCGCAATTTATTGCTTTATTGAAGAAGTTAATATTGATATCTGTGATAGTTTCGGTTAAGGTTTTTAATTTAAAGTCTCTATGAATAGCATTGTTTCTGATGTAATATGGAACTCCGCAGAGTTTACGCAACATTTTATTTTGGAATACATTGAGCTTTTTTTGCCTGTGCTTTATTTAAATTGCACCAGGCTGGTGATGCATATGTTAATATGGGTCTAATATATGTAATATAAATGAATTTTTTATTCTTAAGAGATAATTTAGAATGTGGGTTTTAAAAGACATTTGAGTTTATTATAAATGCTATATGCTTTTGCTATGATATAGTTTCCAGTTGAGATTTTTGTTGATTGTTAGTCCTAAATAAGTCGCTTTATCGACTATTGGTATATCATTATCGAAGAATGTAAGATTTTGTTGTATTACTTTGTTTCTGGGTTTTTTAATTAAGAGGAGATAAGATTTCTGGGCGTTTATATCGATTTTCCATTTAGAGCACCAGTTTTCATAATTATAGATGTTTTCTTGTAATTTATTAATGGCGTTGGGTAATGATTTAGACTTAACGATAATGCCTGTATCATCGGCAAAGAAGGCCGTCAGACTGTTATAATCGTTTTTGTCTACTGGGAAGTCAATAGTATAAAATAAGTAGAGAATTGGTCCCATTATGCTTCCCTGGGGAACTCCCGCTTTAATGATTCTTTTAGTTGATAGAGTATTATTATTTAATCGGATTTTGAAGTGTCTATGGTGGAGGTATGATTTAAGTAAAAATATAAGATCTGGGTTAAAATTAAGGTTTATTAATTTATTAAGAAGGCCAGCGTGCCAGACCCTGTCAAATGCCTTGGTAACATCTAGCATTAGAAATGCAGCTTTTTGTTTGTTTTTAAGTCCTTGGCCAATGAAGTCAATTATTCTAGTTAGTTGTTTGGTTGTATTGAGTTTGCTCTTGAACCCATATTGTTCATCAGGAAGCAAATGCAATTTATCTTTAAGTCTATTGTATATAATATTTTCAAGGATTTTACTTAGTGTAGGTAATAAGCTAATGGGCCTATGATTATGTGGCATGACTGGGTCTTTAAGTGGTTTGGGAAAAAGTATAATTATTGCTTCTTTCCATTTTTCTGGGTAGTAACAAAATGCTAGACATTTATTGAAAATAATGATGAGTTTATTAATGATATTTTGAGGGAGGGCTTTTATCATTTTATTCGTTATTAAGTCACCCCCTGGTGCCTTGTTAGATTTGAGTTTTTTGATTACAGTGTTTGTTTCATTAAAATCTGTAGGTTCTGGGTTATTGTTGGGCCTATTATTGTTAAAGAATAGTCTGTTTTCATTGAGTACAATATTTTCGAAGTCTTCATCGCAGTTATTCGTGTTTTCCGAGAATTGATCTTCCATGGTATCTGTGAATGCCTCGGCCTTTTCAAGGGCCGTGTACACTAGGCCTTGTTTGTCGTGAATTGGCTTATTGATAATTTTATTATTTTTGAGATTTTTTGTGAGTTTATAGAGGGAATTATCATCCGTATTTAATGATTCTAATCTTTCCGCCCAGGTTTCATTCCGGTGTTCTTGGCATTGTTTTTTAATTTGTTTATTGAGATTATTTATGATTGTTTTTAGTTGTGGATCGAAGGATTTTCTCCACTTTTTCCTAATTTTGCTTCCATATTGAATTAGTTGCCTAATGTGTGGAGGTAGCTTCATATAATGGGGAATTTTTATCTTTTCTTGTGTAGCCTCTTTATGGGCAGTTAGTATTTTCTTGTTAATATTAAAGATAGAGTTATTGATGTCTATTGGGTTATTTATTTGGGTCTCTGGCAGGTCTGTTATTTTAAATATATTAGAAAAAAGTTGCCAATCTGTTATTTTTATAGTTTGTTTAGAACTGTTCACTTTTCCTGGTATTGTAGCAATTACTGGCATGTGATCTGATGATAGATCATTCATAAGGTCTGCAATAAGGGTAGTTTTGGAGTTGGTAATAAAAAAAGTCTAGTATGTCTGGTCTGTGGTTAGTGAAACATGGGTAGTATGTGGGTGATATGGGGGCTATCACTTTTAGATTATTTTTTGTCGTAATTTTGTGGAGGGCTATACCATTTCTATTATTATTTCGGCATCCCCAAATAGTATGCTTACTATTGAAATCACCACCAACGATGGTTTCTGTATTATCATTAAACAGGCTATTTATATCTATATCATTGAGGGTATTATTCGGTGAGTTGTATAATGATGTGATTTTATATTGCTTGTTGTTTAGCTGGATAATAATTGTAATTTGTTCATAGCCATTATTATTATTGGAGTTATAATAATTGGCGTTCAGATGCCTTTTGGAAAGTATCGCGGCCCTGCCGCCTTTATATTTGGTACGATCACATCTAAATGTGTCGTAATTTGATATGTTTAAATTTGTTTGTGGGTTAAGATGTGTTTCTGTGATTAGACATAAGTCTATGTCTAATTCCAGTAGGAAAACTTTTAATTCGTCAATTTTGTATTTTAATCCGTCTGCATTCCACAGGGTGATAGTTATTGCTTTTACGTTATTTGGTGTATTATACATTATTGGGAATTGAGCTACTGACTGATATTAATTGCGATAGTTTTTGATCAATGTTTAGTTCTTTAAAAATGCTTAAGAGTGATGTGAGTTGGTTTATTATTGTTTAAGCATCTGATAGTGTATCATCTAGTTGGTTTTTAATTGATTCTGTTTCTTCTCTTTCGAGGTTTTTTAGTGTGTCTGCATATGATTTTCCTGTCATAATTCTGTTGGGATAAAATTGTGGACGAGGGTTCGGTTTTGTATTTTTTGGAATATAAGTAGGTCTTTTTGGGCATTTACTATTATTGGCCGTTTGGTCGCCATTACATAATACGCATGTAGCCTTAGTTGTTGATAGTTTTGTGCATTCATATGTAAAATGACTATCGGCGCATTTGAGACATTTAGGTTCATGATGGCAAAAATTTGCCGAGTGGTGATACTGTTGGCATCTATGGTATTGGGATGGGCCAGGTTTTCCGCGGTATCTTTCGATAGTAATATCGAGGTTGATGATTCTTTTTACGTCATATATTTTCTTTGAGTTATCGCACGCCGGGAGGGTGACAAGGAAGAGTGGGAGTAGTGTTTTACTACCTTCTCTCCTCCTAGTCATTTGGGTGACTGTAGCATTAAGCTCATGAATATCCTTGAGTTCATCTTCTATTCTCATTCTATCTATATTGCGGGGTATTCCCCTTATAACTACTCTAAGTTTTTTATTATCCGGGATTATGAATGCGTGGTGCTTAATCTGTTTAATAATTAGTAGGTTAATGATCCTTTGACAGGTATCATTGTCATGTGCATAGATTTTGAAGCTATCTGGGTAAGATTTACCCATGATAGTTAGAGTCTGTTACGCCGATATTTTTTAGTTCCTCTACAAAATTGTTCCAAATAAATTCTGTATCTTTTATGATGATTGGGGGGGGGGTTCTATTTTTGGAGATAAATTTTGCCCCATTTACGTAATTTTGGCTGTTGTTTTGGGTTGGTATTATGTTAGGGTAGTCATTGTGTTCCTGTGTATAAGTGTCCATGATTTCATCATTTCCCTTTGGGGGAAGTGGGGGGAAATCATTTTCCTCATTTTCAATTTCTTTGTCGCTATTTTTGTCATTTAATTTTTTGGAGGAATAATTAAATTCCCCCGATAATCTTCGTTTTGGCTTTGAATTTCTCTCTTTGATGTTTTCGAGAATTATTTTCCTGGGGATCAATGGCTGGTTGCCATTGGTTGAGGACTTGGGTGTTTCGGTCCTGTGATTGGCCGTAAATATCTTTGGTGGGCCGGGCTTCAGTGTCGAATTTTTAACAGGGATTTTAGATGCGATTTGATGATTTTCATTATTTTG